CCCTGTATATCATGGTAAGTTTATTATCATTGGGATATAAAATAGTATATCTTGTTATACTCCACTATAAATTATGCTACATGACTTAAATACTTGTAAAGTATTTGATAAATAAAAATTAGATTAGATTTTGATGAAATTCGTATTATTTAAAAAGCCTTAAGATTTAGGTATTATAAACCTTATTAAAACAGACACTTATTTTGCTCAGCCAATCCAAAAATGCAATAATATACAGAACATTCCGTTTTAAAAAACGCATCTTTGGTACCTTTAGAGCATTTGGGACACCCTGTACATTACAAAAATATTTTTAAAATGTGCGCTCGGTAGGCGTCGGATAATTAATAGAGTAATTCTTTTTAAAAATCAAACGGTTCAGCCGCAAACTTCCGTGCCGCATAGCGTGAATAACCCTGTATAATATACAGCAGATTTTAAATATTATAAGATTTGCATAAAACCAAAAAGACATATTAAATACTAAACTTCCGTTAAATTTGATTGAAATTTCGCTTAGCCAGAATAAACTTTATACACCACAAAAATGAATGAATAAATGACGCCTGAATATTATTTGGTCAGACATCCGTAAATTTGGTAATAGCTAATTTATGTGACTTTAAACCGCTTCCAATAACATTTGAATTTCGCTTTCAATCGCATTTGCTTATGTTCTTAAAAGCCAGTACCTGTGTCAACTTTGTGAAATATTCCCTGGTCTCCATTTCTCTAGCTTAGTCGATTCCCGTGTCAAGTTCAATTTGCAGGAGTTTCTAGTCCGTCTGGTCCTTCTATCTCGTACAATAATTTCTAGTCTGTGGTATAGTGATCACCATCATAATCCTAGTCAAAAGCATGCCAAAGCTTCAACAACAAACCAGAAGTGGCATGACTCTACTTCGAGTGAACAAATACGAAAATCAAATAGCAAAGCCACCAAAAGAGCGTAGAACTCCCGCTTTTCTACAACGATACCAGCATGGCATGGCGACAGTCTCCTTCAAATTATACCTTGGCCATAGGAGATTTACACGAAAAATTGGGATCCATAGAAGATGAAATTCTATCGGGAATCCAGAGAATGGCTAAAGAAACGAGATGGGTCAAGCTCTCCTAAATTGACTGCACCAAAAGAACGTATACGCCATGAACACCTTGTGATGGAGTGACAGAGAACTAAATTGACTTCATAATCTCCAACGAAAAAAAAAATACGGAGCATGACATTCGAGCGCACATGTGCTGTTTGAGCAAAAATCATCCTTAACGTAAAACAAGGACGGTCCAATTTAGTGCAAAGATCGCTGAAGAGAAGACTACTAACAACCCATAATGCAGACCAGTACACACAACTCCTCAAATCAAACTTTACAACTATAAAAATATACAGCAAGAAGACATTTATATAGGAGAAATCACATATCGAGGAAATGAATGGGCATAAAATATCAGCAACATGTTTTCTTATTTTATAGGCATAAAATAGGAAGACAAGGGCCTAAACATCGATGGCGGATACCTCAACCACCTCAGATTTGCAGGTGATATAGTCTTGGTGACCAACAACATTCAGGAACTGAACAATAAGCTATATGAATTAAACGAGCAATTCAAGAAAACAGGCCTAAAAATAAACCTGAACAAGACTAAAATAATGACGAAAAATGAATGTAACTCACCATAGACTTACCATAGAGAATGTAGAACATTACATATACTTAGGACATAAAATCAAGCCGGGTAAAGAAAACCAACTTGCGGAAATTGATCGCAGGATCCATTTGGCATGGTCGCATTCGGAAACATGAACTATATTTTTAAGGATAAGAAAAATACCAATAAAACTGAGAAAGAAAGTCCACGACAGCTGTGTTCTGCCGGTTCTCACCTACGGCTTGGAAACTATGGCGAGGCATAGAAAAACCTAGAAGAGGTCTATATCCGACAATGGATGAATACGGGCTGAAGAAGAAGAAAATAACAACATTGAAAATATGGAAAACCACGGTCAAGCGGTTAGCTGACAGAAAAGTGGAAATTTGGATGAAAATACTGAAAAGCTAGTGGAAAAAAGAAATCTGAATGACAAAATGTACAAAAAACACTTGTCCAACCGTGGTCAGTTAATAGAACGGAATAAAGAAATATCTATACACGCATCATTGCAGAAATATTCAATGCAATAGGAATGAACGTGCTGAGGAAACAACTCTAATACGGAAGAAAACCATTAGGAAACGTTACTGATAAAAATGAACAACCGACATATAATATACAGGATATTTTAAATATCATAAGATGGTTCAACGAAAATTTGCATAAAATCAAAGACACATTTATTAAAAACTAAAATAATTCCGTTAAAGTTGGTTGAAATTTAGCCCAACTCGAATAAATTTTATACGACAATGAATAAATGAATGAACAAATGAAGACTTCGTTTCCAACCGCAATTTCTTGTATTCCTAAAAGCACATGCGTGATTTATATAAATATAATTTCCAAAAAAAAATTTTTAGTAGGACGTATGCACTCTACCTTTTTAAATTTTCCAAGACAAAGCTGCCCTTCTTGCCAAAATAATCTCGTCAATGGTTTAAATGCGTAATTATGTATCGTCTATTATAATATTAATATTAATGTGTTATAGTACATGTTTGCCATGTTTACTAACACTAACCAAACAGCTTGAGAAAAGAATGCGATTATTGCTTTGTGTAGGGAAATTCCAACAATATTTTCCGAAATTAGGATCCTCTTCTCTCCTGTAAAACAATCAGGACCGAAAGCAGTTCAAAAAATAAACGAAATAGACACAGCCAAGGGATAACATCCTAAAACTTCATTTACACTGCCGGAGATAAAGTGGAATTATCAGTGGAACAATCTTAACTTTGGCAGACAATCAGTCTAGATTAGAGCGGCATTATCCACCTTGTCTTACCTCTCTCTACGGAGTTAATTTGCGGACCTAATTCTCGCTTCTTCAGCCTCTTGCTTAAATTTCGTTAAATAAGGAGTCGAGTTTGTTGCAGAGAGGGTTGGAAATTGAATAAATTAACTGATTCTGAGTCACAATGGGCAAGGGGTGTCGCATAATTAATTGCTAATAATCTAAGGTAAGCAACTAAGGTCCTTTAGGATCGAACAATAGAAACAGGCGTGCAGTTACTTTAAGCGCTATAAAACTAAAATAATTAGTCTAGTAATGCATTAAAAACATGTATTATACAGTTCATAATTCCTGGAATGCTTAATATTAATTGGGCCTTTTAGATCCAGATAAAGATGTTTAAATAACTCGACTTCTTCTCTATTCCAAAATATAAATGTTCTGTAGTTGTGTCTTAGAAGGAAACACAACAGCTTCGTATAACCATTTCATGTCTTTTTTCTTCTAAATATAAACAATTTTTTACAAATAAATGAATATAGTTTGCTGCTAAGAAATAGAGCAAAACAGTATTATTTTGAACCTTGCTATAAACAAGCTCAGCGGAGGGAGTAAATTAGTCGATCTCAAATCGTCCGGATATCTCGAAACCATCAATGGCATATTTGAAATTCGAAACGCCCTATTGTCTGGTTTATAGGTGATGGCAGCCACAGAGAAAATGTGCTCGAGCAGGTTTATTATCGCCGAAATGGAAGGCGAAAGCAATTTTCCCATGAGTTATCGGAGATATCTACCTAGCAAACAGAGAAAACTACTGTATTTTTGCAGGTGCGTGAGTAAGAATTGTCTGATGCCTTTAGGGGACGTGATCGTAAATATTGGCTGCTTATATCGTCATCTGTTTCTTACAGCTCAGACTTTTACGATCTCGCACAAGCTTTAATATAATGTATGTGACAAACATAATAACGTAATTTTATCTCGATGTGCCATAACAATAAAACTGAAGTTAAGTACTTAAATTAAGACTGAGTAATAGTCTAATATTATTAACAGACTTAAAAACTTAACATTCTTCGAGGTATTTGATTCACATAATTTCCTATTTCAACACGACCATTTAGTAGGTAGGGTTCCAGGATATATTCCGAACAAACTTGAAAACTAAACCAATGTTGTTTTGTCACATTTTGCAACTTCGCTGAAAAGTTAAACTAGTTTGATAAGTGCGATTGAAACATTAGTGCCACCAATGACCATTCATTCATTAATACAACGTTTTCCTTATATGCTCATTAAATACGTTATTTACAGTGGTATAGTGTTACAAATGGCATTTTCAATTTCATTTCAAAAATTTCATCTTCAAAGGCGTTATCGTTAAAGATACCTAGGCGTTAAGGGTTGCCTTTACGGTACATATGTACATACGGGCAGGATTGGTAAGCTGATAGAGATGGAGCTGTTTACAGCTCTTATTCTTTGTACATTTTTTTAAACTGACTTTATCAGCCTTCATTGATTAAAATATTGAATTGAACATCGAAGGATCAATACAAATTGCAAAAAGGAATTTTTACAATAAGGAGACTTTGTCAGATTATTCATATGTATGTTGAAATCAAATGGCATTCCGCTTCCAACAGTAGTGTAAAAATCGGAGACGAACATTTCACGAAAACTAGACGTACTGCCATTACCTTCACTGTTTCTTGTTGTGAGAAAATTACATATTCAGGCTATTTCCTAGGGTTCTGTGTATGATTCGATAGTAAGTAAATTATTTATAGAGTGTTGATTATTTCTAAGGAATATACTTCAGCACTATTGAAAATACCTTGAGGTAAAATGAAATATACCTGATAAAGTATGCATTAAATAATCAAATTAAATTAGATGCATTCATCACCTCCGAAATTCCCTTGTATTGATCTGAGAGCTCATTTCGCCATCCCTTTTCTAGTGACGTGTTTCCCTCGGGACTTTCCTGATTGCACCTGTCCATATATTTCCCCATTTATACTTTCCGATAGGCAGAGCGAGTCAATCGGAGGCCCCTTGCTCGGCCCTTTTTCGCTGAACTGACAGAAATTGTAAAGGGAAAATCGAAATCGGTAACGTCTGATAATGTCACTTTACCTTTAGATTTATTCCCAACCCGACGGAGACACAGTGTCCGGTATCGTCTTGAAATGTATATAATTATTTTTGTGACTTTTGCTCCTTTTTTAGTTATCTGCAAAGGCGCAAGCGGGGCAAGAGACGGTGAGAATTGAGATTGCGTAGCGATAGTCAAGTTTCACTGGAAGTTCTTGTTGAAAATGTATCAATGCTTGTCAAAATGCCGTATGTTTATTAGATATTCAGCAGCTCTGAAAAATGATCAATTTACTGGAGAAGTTTTCTATCTGTGTGGGTGTGTAGCTCAATATGAACAATTAAAAAATTAAAGTATACATCCAAATGAATAATTGAAATACACCAAACAAATTATGAATGCTAGAAGATCTTATATTCTTTGTCACATATATTTATTGGTACAGTATACTCGTCAACGAATTAGTGAAATATAACGAGAGATATAGAAGTGTTGAATAATAAGCGTAGTTAACAATGTTCAGAGTTTGCGAGCTCTTAAAACTGAATAATGGAATCAAAGTGTCAAATGCATGAAAATGTTTCTACTAAACATGATTCGTATTAGTATGAATTTTTTCAGTTGCAGATGGCAGCTTTTATACATATTTACCGTATACAGCGTAAATGGGACGATATTTTTAAATTATAGCACATCAAACGATCATTCATTGGTGCATTCGCGGACAAGGCTGCCGAATGAAAATACATGTATTTCCAATTGGATTATATGCATTTGAAAATGGAATAAAGATTAAATTAAATTAAATTAATTAGTGCTGAGGCTAAGTTGAGATTTTTATATTTAGTTATTGAGAAGTAAATGAGAAAATTAAACAATTAGTTAGCCCACTTCACTTATTTCTTCATATAATCCGAACTATAGCTTAATCCAGGATCTAAGCATTGAAAAATTCATGAAATGATTGCAACCTTTATACCTAATTTAGTAAAATTATTTTTGGCAACGAAATTGTACAGACTCAATACATTACTCTCTACTGGGAAGGTGGATTTACGAAGCGACTTGTTTGTTTGCTCTAGAGGAAAGGAAGCAGGGAAAAATGTACTATTTGACTTTTCTTTCTTATTGAACAGTTCGACTAAAATTTGTGAAACTTGTCTAGATATACGGTCATCGGATAAAAATTAGACTATTATAATGAATGACGCAATTTCTTGCTGAACAGTATGTTAATTTTAGACAAATGTATCGTTACTAACAGCTTAGAACAATTATTCAAAAAGAAATGCTTATTATATCACAATGCTGAATTAAAGAAAAAGTATACTAGTTCAAACAGCAGAACTAGATACAGGACCATTTTATTGCCAAAATATGACAGACCTGCAAGTAATAAAATTAGCTATGCTGTTGCAGTGAATTCGTTCGTGAGATAATTGTTTTATGTCAGGGTTTAGTATGGCTGAAATGATATTGAATAATTTTTAAAACTAAAAGTTAGAATAGATTTATAAATATATAGTTTTGGTTTAGTTTGTAAGTTTAGTTATGTAAGCACACTGCACCAGGCTCGCAAACAATTATTTATTATTTTATTTACCTCTGCGGGATGCATACCAGAAGTAATTCTGAGTTTACAGTTTACAGTTTAAACCAGTATACATATATACTGGTTTAATAAATAAATAAACAGAAAATACGTCAGAAAATAGCATACAGTCTTATGCAGAGGATACGGCAGTTATGGTAGCGGGAACCACTTGGAGAGAGGTTGAACAAAAAAATGAACAAATACCCAGAATACTTATCTATATATCTAAGACTAAATAACACTAAGCATACAACAACTGATTATATAACATTTGCCAATTACTGCGATAGTGATCCATAAAAGATTGGCATTAAACTTGATAAAGAACTGCTCAGGGGAGTAACTGGAACAAAATACTTAGGTGTAAAGTTTGACTCAAATATGAGATGGAGTAAACACGTTGAATACCTTATAAACAAGACAAGATATATAATTTTCATCTTTTGAAGAATACACAAAAATGTATGTATGTACGGAATAATTACATGGGGTGGAGCGAACCAAAACAAACATCTATTATATTATATACAATTTGTCCAAACAAGAATATCAAAAATAATAAATAATAACAATTTTCAAAAATGTATACCTTTCATTTTACAGCAATTATTTTCGAATGATGGACTATTGTTTCGTGAGGAACCAAATTGATTATGTGTTGATTAGACAAAGATACAGAAATGCAATCGTTTCGGCAAAAGTGCCGACAAAAATCAGGCTTAGAATGAAAGAAATAAAAAGAAGTTCAGAAGATACCCAAATCGATATGACCAGACTAAGCGATACAGATACAAAACAACGTAGAGAGAAGATCAACAGTGTTGAGTGTTAACGAATGTAAATGAAGAAATTCAAAGAAAGTAGTCAAAATAAAGTAGGTACTAACACCAAAAACAAAGAAAAAGAAACAATGGATCATAGGGGAGATTCTTCAGTTAATGGATAAAAGGTTACAATTTAAAAACAAAGATAATACCAAATACAGAGAGGTAGACAAACAGATAAATCATGAAATTAAGGAAGCAAGAGAAAAATGACTAACGGAACAGTGCGAATAAATAGACGAATACCAGAGAAAGTATGACTTACGCTAATAGGAAAAGAAAGCCAGGAATACTGCAGCATGTAAACAGATGTTTAATTTTGGATAGAAACCAAAAACTAAGGAGATGGACAAGTTGTTTGGAGATGATACATCAGGAGAACTGGTGGAAATTGAAGTAGCAATAATAAAATAAGTTCTAAAAATTTTAAAAGAAGAAATGATATCGGCTCTAAAAAACATAAAAAAATGGGAGGGCAGTAGGTCCAGTCAAAATTTTATTCAAATGTATGAACAACGATACGTTGGATATACTACTGGACTTTTTTAAAGAAGTATACGAAACAGGGTATATACCAAAGCTATGGTTACTGTCCGCTTTCACCGCTATTCCAAAAACCACACACGCTAAAGACTGCTGTGAATACAGAACAATATCATGAATAAATCATTATCTTAAGCTATTTTTGAAAGTAATCCATTGACGCATCAGTAAAAAAACTAGAGGAATGAATAAATGATAGTCAATTTGGGATTAGAAACGGACTAGGCACGAGACGTTGTTTGCACTAAATGTGTTAGCACTAAATGTAACACATTTAGGCACAGAGGTATCAAGACATAAATATGGATGTTCATGTCTATTACGTTGACTAGTAAAAAACCTTCGGTAAGATAAGGCTCGAAAAACCAGTCAAGTCTCTAAGCAAAAAACATCGGCAACGGAAACAGAACAGAAGATTAATAACCAATCTTTATTGGCATCAACTCGCATAAATATTAGTGGAAAATAGACAAAGCCTGGAAATGGAAATAACGCGAGTGACAAAAAGATGTGTTATATTCACCTCCTCTTCAAAGTATGCAGTTTTGTTGTAGTATGATTTTTGAAGGGACACTATTATCTGAAAATGAGGGGATAATGGTAAACGGAAATATTAAACAATATATGATTCGCGGACGACACAGCGATTATAACAAACTCCGCTGAAGAAGTCCAAAGACTATGATACAGAACTGGTATATTTTGTGAACAGTATGGACTAAAAATAAACATAAGAAAGACCAAATATATGATAATAACGAAGAATTCAAACGTAGAATTAAACAGAAATATATGGGCCAACAAATAGAAAGGGTTCAAAAATACAAATACCTGGATTACAGGAAATCCACCAAATCAACTTTGTTATTAAGAATTATTTTGAACTGGTTACATTTTAACTGGTAGCATATTGGAATACTTGAGCATTCAAAAAGAAAACTTACGATCTTTGCTTCAAATTACGAAAATTTTTCATCAATCAAAAAAGTTCTCTTCTACAATTTTTTGATGAAAAGGCACAACGGCAATGATGTTTTTTGTCATTAACAGATAGTTACAGGTGGATAGCCCTTGTCAATAATAACAATAATTTGACAAACAGTGACTTACTTTGAATTTTTTTTCACGAATTTGCGGACATGGGATTAGTTCAGGAGAAATGCTACAGTGAGATAGCAGAACCTGAAAGAACTCACGCCAACAAAGGGCGAGGAGAGTGGTTCCAAGAAGATAGTGGACGATAGATGTTCGGGTTCCAGGGACAGAGGAACACGTATTGGACATAACCGAATCAGGGCCTTCCAGGGGCACTCAGAGCACAATAACTGACACTTTCCCAAGCCCCAAATAAATACCGAGGGATACATTCCTACCATGTTTGTACGATACACACAGCACAAGGAGATACAATTGGAGCAGGAGTTAATTAACTGAATACGAGAAGCTGCTTGATAAGAGTGGATAATAAGGAGATTACACAGGCATTAGCTTGTTTCGAGTTAACCATTCAAATGTTTGGTGTTGTAGGGTTTATTTATAAACACCCATATTCGAGGTTATGAGAACAGGTTGACATTTCGTCAACAAATCTTGTTGAATTTATCGTTTATCCTTGCCTATCTTATTGTCAGTCTGTTTAATTCCATGGTTACCGGAGTTTTAAATAATTACAAAGCCACGGGTATTGGCGCAATGTTAATTAGGCAGATTACCTTGAAAAACATTGCTGCCGTATTTCTGATATAGGTTTTTGCAAAATTCTCAGTTTTTAATAACAGTTAATTTATTTTACTATTTTTTCTGTACTCCTATAACAGCGCCAGACAACACCTCCAGAGGAATGATGCCAATTTTGAATCATCCTGTATAATGAGAGGACAGCAATATGAGATGCTTATATTGATCATACAAGGAAAGATACAGGAAAAAAGGAGCATTGGTACAAAGAGAATTTTATAGTTGAGAAATTCGAGGGATTGGTTTGGTGGTAGCTCAATAGAACTTCTAAGAATTGCGGCAAATCAAGAAAGAATGCTAGTGATGATATAATCATCCGATACGAGGCGGCATTCAAAGAATAATGAGACTTTTAATTCATTAAAACAGAATAAGAGTAGTAGTTGTAAAGTATTACAAAATAGTAATCACGAAAAATGATTGCATAAAAAATCACATGAAAAACAATTTCAACAGAATGCCAATTGAAGTTAAAGTTTTAAATATTAAGAAATAATCTAATGAATGAAGAAAATAATACATCGAAAATAGATTGTCAACAACTCGTACGTAGCCTGGCTTGAATTCGTGTGTTCCTCAGTGAAAGTAACAATACAGAAAAGCACGAAAGAAAAAGTTCAAAACCTTCTGCAACAAGAACATAAGTAATAAAAATAGTTTTCTAAGACATCTCATACTTTACAATTGTTGGCTATATCACC